TGTATCAATAATTTCGAAAATCTATGTACTTGTCGAACATATTCTATACTTACATATTATCCTCGATATTATCACTTTTCGTTTTTTTAGAGCTTGAAGGGCCTGGGTCTGCACTATCCACGTTTGGTAGGGTAATTTTAAGTTTTCTGCCAAAGTTATCATCATGCGGATTTTCCTCATGAGTATAAGTTAATATTGTCCTAGAAGATCTGTAGGGACTGTGACTGTAGCCTTTTCTGACATCAGTTATTTCAAGATTGTAGGTATCTAAAACCTAATTACTTAATATTATTAACTAAACTGAAATATATATATATTATATATATGTATACTAAAATTAAAAGAAAATGTTTACTAACTAGTTCGTTATATGTCGGTTCTTTCTTTTTTACTGTCAATATTGCATGGCCATCAAGAACTCGATGGTCAAATTTCACGGATAAGTATAATTTAGTCTGAGTCACAGCAACGAGGTCTAATAAATAACAATTTATTGAAAGTGAAATTCAAATACTTAACAAGACAATATATAAATAATAATTATAAGTACGTGTCGAGAAATATAAAACATTACAATTAAATATAATTTTAAAACCCTATAGGATATAATTCTTAGTAGAGAAATTTCAATAGCGTTATGAAATGTTTGACATATATTTTTTGTATTTAAAGAAACTATGACCATGCTACAATGAAACAATAGCATAATTTACAAAATTGTGCGGATTATACTTGAAAATTTGGAGATACGAACGACAGCGTCGCCTTTCAATACTGATAAACTTGTAATTACCCGATATCTATGTTTTATTTTTTTTAGAAAACATAACGAAAATAAAGGTTTAATATTTAATATTATACTTATATAAATAATTACGTAGTTAATATACCTGGTCTCGAATAAGAATACGGAATATCATCTCCTGCAGGTGGCTGATTCATTTTAAAATTTGTGTGAACCTTTCCAAATGCGTACCGACAATAGAATAACTATATCATCAAATTAAGAACAGTATCGCTCGCTCTCTTCCCTCTCCAAC